AGGCCCTAGAAAAGGAGTTTGCTAGAGCACAAAAGGCAGCTAGACTAGATCCCCCCCAAACTGAGGGATTAACATACACTCTGCCCTTGGGGCCTCCTGCCTTCTCCCCGAGGGGATGGACTACGGGAGAACTTGCTCATTCCCCCGTACCTCCCGCTCCGCGGTCACATTTCAGCCTTCCAGAGGCAACTTTCACTCCTACAGCTGCAGGCCTCCGGCCTGCGGAGCCTGTCCCAATGCCTTCAGAGGAGCGCCTGACCTTCTTGATTGCGCGAGCAGTTGATAGCGCCTTGAACGCCAGGGCGATTCTGCCTAGACCTCCAATTGTCAGTCCCATCCCCACACAGGGTCAGGCTGAGGAGACTTATGACGCTCCTTCCTCACCATCGGGATCCTCGTACTCAGAGGGCCTATCCCTCCATGACCAGGGCACGGACCAAGGGCTTCCAATGTCCGAGGAGGAGGAGACTTCCCCTGATGCTCCAACATTCAGTGGAATGTTTAATCCTTCTGCTTTTGTCACCCTGCTCCGGAAGGTCGCATCCACAGCTCACCGGGGTTCTGAGCCTCCTTCAATGGTGGAAACTGTTTCCCCGGATCCGGAGTTAGATCCCAATTTTATTGAGCCAGTGGCGGCTCAGCACCGCATTCCATGCCCTCCCATGTTCATGACCGCTATACAAAAGCAATGGGCTTCCCCAGCTTCCCTCCCTCTGCCTAGCGCGACGGATAAAAGACTTTATAATGTAGCTAAGGAGCTGGAAGAGGCACTAGAGGTACCGGCGGTGGATGAACCTTTAGGGCCCCTGGTATCTTCCACCGCCATTCCCGGAGACGTCTCGGAAGCCCTCAAAGCGGAGGACCGTAAGTCCGAACTCGCTTATCGTAAGTCCCATCAGGCGGCGGCCTGGGCGATTAGAGCGGCTTCCTCCGCTTCGTTCTTTAATAGATCCGCCCATCGCTGGCTCAAACAGCTTCAGGCCCGGACTCCAGCTGATGATGTCCGCTCCCACCAGGACCTCAGTAAAATGATAGCGGCCATGGAATATGCATCTGATGCTTCTCTCCAAGCCACCAGGTTTGCCTCCAAGGCTATGGCCTCCAGCATCACTGGGCGGCGTATGCTTTGGCTGAAGCATTGGCGTGCCG